TCCAACAAGGTTCTAATTAGCCTCTATCACTCGTTCTACGCAGTACTTTTCAAGCCGCCCGGCCTATACCTCGAGAACGTGCTGGATAATAAGGACGACGCTCTACAGAAACAGAAGATCAATGCCTGGATGGCCATGGACACGTTATTCGTCTACCTGTACGTACGACCTGGTGCAGCACCGCGTCATGTTCCAGGTGATCGCCTTCCGCTTCTTCTGCCATATCTTTTCGCTGGTTTTCGTGTCTGGTTCTAGTCCGATCCAAAGCACGTGGGTCGTGTGTCAGTTCGGCGTCATGATCGTGGACGCCTTCCCAACCTTTCTGGCCACCTGGAACGTGTACCGCAGTCAGTGGTTCTGGTTCGGTATGCCTCTCCTCGATGAGTTCCCCAACAGTATCGGCGACTTCATTGCCACTCTGTTCGTCGTGGGAGTGTGTGACAAGAGAAACCGGACGGGATCAAATAGGCCTTCGTCGTGGGAGTGTGTGACAAGAGAAACCGGACGGGATCAAATAGGCCGGAGGACTGTTGCCCATACCCCATCATCGTGACGGTATTGAGAAGTAGTCCGAAGATTGACGCGGTTTCCTCAAGTTCTTCTCTTGAGCGGTCGACTGAAAGTCCACAACGTAGTCCTCCGTCGCCGCTGATATGTTGTTCTTGGGCGTCACCATCCTCGTGTAGGTTTCGTCCTCGATGGGCTTCTCGGACACGTCGACATTTTCGGGGTCTCGTAGCGGAGGAATTCAAGTGCAAGACCCGACAAGATCATGAACACCACGTAGATAGCAGCCATGTAGATAATATGTAGATAATACCGTAAGTGACCCAGGATTTCTCCGTGTCCAGACCAAACAAGTCCAAGTAGTACTTGCCCATTGTCATCCCATACTTCGCACAGTAATCCACGCCATCGTTGACGCACACATCCATGCCACTCGCCCGGTATTGGTTGATAGACAACGCCTTGACACTCCAGCTCATGGGACTAATCCAGTGAGCCCAGATCAAATAGTCCGGGATCTGGTCCGTTGTCACAATGAAGCCAGCGAAAATCTCAAACTCGAAAATGGAGCACATGCCCAAAGACGTGACGATGTTCGCGTTGGGGCCCACTGAGCTCAGGAAGAAGAACCACATTCCCATTGCCAGGTTTGTGAAGAAGAGAACGATCTCAAAGATGAGAAACAGAGACGCTTCGGCTTCAAAGCCACACAGGAAGTAGACGAGCGCTGCAAAGATGTCCGTCTCGCCTAGAACCAGTGGGATCTGACTCGCTGAATTGGCAAGATCGTACGATGCCGTGCGGAAGAATTTGGCTCCTCGCAGCTTGTAAAAGATCTCACGGTCGGCCGTATACGTTGCGATCTGGGACGACTGGCCCATGGACACGAACATGACAGAGAAGAACACAACACCCAGCACCACAGATTTTTGCCGCCTAAAATTGTCATGCCCACGTAGGGCAAGTGGCATACAAAATCGTCGGGTACACCGCCACCTGCGTCTTTCAAAGTCGTGAGCGCGTAATGGGAAGTACGTCGTGTACGTATTCTGGCTGTTCGAAAAGTGAGTTCAAATGAACTCTTGCAGTTTGCAAGTTGCACCAAAGCAATCTTTTAAATCACAGCTGCATGCAGAAGATACAGCTTGTGGTTCTTATAGGTACTGTACAGGCAGTAACCTTTACTGACCTTTACATTGCACGTAAAGGACATGAGCTTGAAATGTATCTTATACAACATGTTGGCTGGGTAATTCCCGTGTATATTTGCCCTGATAAATTACATGTACTGAAGCCTACAGACCACCTTATTTCCTATGCTTCTTGCTCAATTCGTAAGACTCTGTTAACGGTGTAGAGGTGTTGGAACGAAGCTTGGGACTGAACGGAGTGACTTCTGCACTTGGTGCGGAGACCGGAGTGAAGGCACTTGAGCGGAAGAAGGAAGATTCGAAAGTGATTGATTTATCGGGGCTTACACTGTCCTCACTACCTAGGTCATCCAATCATTCTACTCGTCCAATCATTGGTGGCATAAACAACGTACCATAATCACAGCGGGATCGTATTGGACCGGTTCAGGTTGACCGGTTAATGGGTACAACTGGTACACAGTACCAAGACCAGCAACCCTCAATAGACTCGCGAGCGCGAAACGAAGGGTTCCGTCGCCTTCCCGACCGACGGACATCAGCAACATCCTGTATGTCGGTACATGTATTTCGTGAAGGATCAGCCGTGTGCTCTCTGGCTTCACAATTGAGCATTACCTCCTCACCATCATCAGATGAATCCTGTGTCGCTGGTTGATTCTGGGGCTCTGGAGAAGCCGATCTCGATTCAGTTTCCTCCAGAACATCTTCACCATTATCATCCGCATTCTCTGTCACCGGCAGGACCAGCGGCGCTGGATAATATTCTCTTGGACTACCTTGATAGTTGAGCTGATCCTCTTCCTGCGATGATATTGGTAGGACGACTGGTGCCGCTCGTGAGTCCTGCAATGTTAATGGTCCAAAACTGATTTCTCCATCTGCAATTATCGGGATTTCAGGCAACTCTGGTGCATTGTTTCTGTGCGATCTTCGGATGGTACGCCTTTGGGCTCTCGGTGTCACAAATCGCTGCTGCGGATCCGGCATTCCTGGACAGGGCACTGCGTGGCCTTAATCACATGAAAGCAGATTCCTGATTTCTTCCATATTAGACACATACATGACCTGTGAGTAGCATTGACGATCCAGCCTCCTCGAGGCATACCGATCCACGTTAGCCTAGCGTAATTGGCCGCCTCATAAGAGCGGCGGACTTCATTTAGAGCTTCAGATGGGGCAGTTGATTGATTTCCTTCTAATGTATCGCTGATGCTGGACTGGGTTATACTTGGTATTCCTGCTGACGGTGCAATCTGTACAAGGACGGGGCTCAGATCTCCCAAACGATGCACAATAGATGCTACCATTGGTTTCGTCTTCTCCGCCTTTCTATAGGACGCCTTCAGTCGCTTCGAAACTTTAGGATCGTCGCTAAACGGAGCCATTGATGCAACATATGCAATTCGAGACAAGTCCAGGCGTGTGACCAGCTCAGCTGGATTAGCTCTTTTGTTGTCATTTACTAGTTTCAGCGTGTAGTGGTAGGTTTCTAAGGGATTGTTCGTTGCTGCGTACCCGACAGGAGTATGAAAAGCTTGCCAATACGAAAAACGGCATGATATGATTGACCACCCTGCGAAATTTTGGGCAAATCTCACCGCCACCCCTCCAAGAGCTCACTACATAATCACGTTTTCTTAGAAAGTCCTCCTCAGTAGCAGCGAAATGCAAATCGTAAAGATTCTGAAAAATCAACTGTTTGGATACGATATCCAATTTTTCGTCATGAAGGTGCTTTGCCACATTTTGTGTGACATGGAACCAACACATTAGAATTTTGCTATGTGGAAGCTCCGATACACATGCGTTGTACTGGGCTTTGTCCGCATCCATCATGACATAGTCAGGACTAAATTGCACTCCAAACTCTCGGTAGACAACTCGTTTTAGGAATGCAATACACCAAACTATATCCACTTCACGACGCTGTGATGTGCAGAAGTAAACTACGGGTAGAAAAGCTCCACTACAATCCGATATCCCAACCACAAAAACGGGATACTTCTGCTTCACGATGCTGTGAGTACTGTCCAAGTGCATCATCGTATAAAAGAGTGCATTTTGCTGTACAGCTACATAGCGCGCTATAAGCTCCATGCATGTTAATCCAATACGAAAGGGCTTTGCCTCAGAGCCAGAGCCAAGCGCAGATTTCACTAACCCATTCACGTCTATTACATCGCTAAAAACAAGCAGGTCTCCGCGACCCCTGTCCTCACGATCTTCCCGATCATACATGCATTGCCGGCAAATCTCTATTACAGGAGCCATACTGTCGGGCTCGTTTTTTCTTCTCCAGCCTTTCACAAAGTTCTGCACGTGCTTAAACTCCGGTGTCGGGCCAAGCATCCGATCTTGCTGAACTTCTCGGCACAGAAATGCAAACAAAAGCTGCGGCACCATTGACGGTGAGTCATTCAGCTTAGCTAGAATATAAGTTTTCATTTCGTCTGTAAGCTTAGGATTTACAGGAGAGTCGGGAGCATCATCAGTCATTACATGTAATTCCTGCTCCAGTACAGATTTAAAGTCAACTTCTTCACATGCTAGAATCTTGTATCGACATTTGCATGTTTCACCAGATGCAGCACATCGCTGGGAGGCACACTTCGTGACGATGCAGCGCATCTCGTGATAATTGGCAGCTAGGATGTCCTCTTCGCGATCCACGTGATTCATTGTGCACCGAAGTAGATCATTTTTAACCCGAACGTAAGCTGGTAGACGCTTGAGAAATTCATCATACGATTCGTTGTCTCCTGTCCTCCATAATTCTTGCCACGGCCTGCGCACACGGCGCCGCTCATCATCCTGCTCCATGGACCGAGTTCGGTTGGCAAAGTGCTCACAAACATAGTTCAATTAAAAGAGCTCAGGAGTTTCAAATTCGCATGAGATAGTTGTCATTCTCCTACTTTTAGTGGGCGTGCCCTGCAAATAGTGGAATTCCTCTATTTTTGAGTTAGTGAGACTTGTATGTTTTTAAGTGCCAATTAAGATTATTATTGTGCTGTATTTTAATCTTTTAGTGCTGCATCCCAAAACTTTAGTAGACAGGACGGCCCTCGTGGATTCCGGGAGGGAGGAATGTAAAGTTTGTAGCTTTATGCAAAATTTCAGCCAAGCAAAACGAATAGTCGTTTAAGTATCCCGGTGTCCCTAAAGATAAAATCACCCCCTGAAATAACAATTTCACTTTAGATTTTGCAATACGTACATTTTTTAAAAGATGGTTGCCGTTAGTTTTTATGCAGTAGGCAAGTGGTTCTTTGACCGAGCGGCACAATCTAGCTCCTCGTATTGTGAGTATAGTTTGAAAAATCAAGTGTCCCTTTAATTAATAGCAGTACTGTACGCTATAATACATAGTGTTAAGTGAAAAAGTATTATACATATATTTATTATGCGGAACACAAATGAAACGTTTGGCGGGACCCCGGGGTCCCACCGGGACCCCGGTATCCCCATCTGAAACCGGCTATCAATTTTAGTTGATTTGAAATTAGTATGACTGAACTTGAAGTACCTATTCTTTCTGTTGTGTGTGTGACTTGAAGAACTGCAAGATGGAAGGTTGGTTACTGCGTGGCTTTACGGAAGTGCTTGTCTTCTTATTCAACTTCTTCTTCTTGTTGCTACTGTTGGTGTCACTGGACGTGGCCTTGACATTCTGTAATGACTCTGGTACGTTTGGATAATAGTGCAATGGCTGAGAGAAGTATTTAGCTGATAGTGATTTTAACTTGGTCGCTGATAGCAACTTGACAGGGTGGCGAAGGAGTCGCATGGATGAAAGAGACGCTTCAAAAATTGTCTTGACCGTGGGGCCGAATAGATCCGCCAGAACAGCTTTTCGAACAGCTTCAATGTTTCCAGGGGCAACCATCGAGAAAGAAATAGAGTTTTCATCCGACGTTCCTGCTGTACTACGAGCAGTACAAACTCCACAATCAATCTCAAAAAGGCAGTTTGAGGTGTAAACCCC